TAAAGCAGGATCAGATAGTAGAAGTGAAACCATGTGGACGGGCAGCGGTTGTCGCTATATTAATCAGGTAAGTACAAACGTGCTTTGTTGCTATTTGCTTATCACCGCATGTGAATAATTGAGACGTACAAACATTTAAATTCAATAAGTTAGTCAAGTTGCTTGCAAAGAAATTAATGGCTGTCTTATGACGGGCAAAAACAAATTTATTTATACATAAAATCATTAAAGAAACTTCGTAATTTTAGTTCTAATAATAGGAAAAAATTTAGCTGCAGACATGTATTTGCTTCATTGTTGCTATTAAAATTAATAGTTTAAGTAAATATCAATTCAATATTTGTAAGTACATACATACTTTAAGAAAATCTTGGGTATTTGATAGAAGTTCTACCCAATAACACATAAATCGTTTTTTTTCCCCCCAGAAATATATGTACGTACATTAGGATGATCCAAAAATAAAATAAAGTCGGAATATTATGCTCTTACCATCTAGAATTGTTGTTTAAAGAAAAAATATACCCGTTTTTTATTTTGAAATCAAAAAAATATTTAGAAGTCGCTCAAAGGACACAAAGTTATCCAGTATTTTATATGGAAAAAATCATTTTTCGTAGAAATGATACAGAATTCTTGAAAATCAATATTTTTCGATATTAACTATTTTTTTATAGGTCCCCCAAAAACATCAAAAAATTCTATGGGAGACCCATGAAAAGTCGTTAGTACTAAAAATGGTAAAATAAACAATTTGGTATTATTTCTGGAAGTCTTTTGAAGAGAAACAGAGTTTTCAGATCGAAAAATTATGATTTACAAGAATTCTATACCATTTCTACGAAATTTTTATTTTTTATATAAAAAATACACGGAAAACATTACGCGACCTCTAAAATTGTTTGATGTCGAAAAAAACATTGAACAATCCTTGGGGCATTAAAATTCGGACTTAACTTTTTTTACAAGCACTTTTGGACCACTCTAATGTACATACAACTCATAGAATAATTATACCATACAATATGTATACATTAGGCTGTAACGGAAAACAAATCACAGAGTACACTGCTGAGTCTTAAAATATTTTTGTACGGTGATTTAAAAAAAAAAAATTTAGTTGTCCGACCATAGCCGTTGTCTTTTTATATATTTTTTTTCTTCGACATTTACAAGCGGGACATTAATTATGATATATCGATGTCATACCGTAATCTCATCTCGATTAAGGTCGCCCGTAGCAGTAGTGCAGGTACTAGGTAAATAAATGGGTTTGAAACCAACTTTTTTTATTTAAAGAGGCGTTTTTATTTTTTATTTCCGATGTCGGGATTTATTTTAAAGGACGTTGTAATTTCGAAGATATGATTGATTCCAAAAATTATTTAAAAAATTCAATGCAATGTATAATAAAAATATGGTCACCAAATTAATGAGGAAATTTCTTTAGAATTTAAAATAATAAAAAAAGTTTGGATTCACGAGGACGAGTAGTTAATTTTTCAAGTTGATAAAGTTAGAAGGACAAAATTCAAGGATGCCATCGAGTTTATATCAGTCCTTAACATAAATTTTTTTCAAAAACAAATATTTCAAGGATAAAGTTTTAAAAGCACATTTTCAAAACTTACTAGTCCTTATGCACCAAAAAATTGAGTGTGTAATATTTAGTATTGCACGGTGGTATATGTATAATGAGCTATTTCGGTTCATCCATCAATCATTGCCTTCAAGCTCAACTAACGGTAGGCCCAAGAAACGGGCAATTTCAACAGGGTCGGACCAAAGGGAAAGAGGTGTTAGTTGCGCAGAATTGAGCTGGGTTGTAAGAGGTGGTTGGTGTCATACGGGAAGTGTCCACATGCCGGACACTCATAGGGATATTAACTGTTGAGGCGGCTGCAGTACCACCAGAAACTGCGTTTTATTGTGGTCCTTTACGGGAAGAATTTGGGCCTCGCTGTGTAGGTGGTGCTCAGGCGACATCAAAAGGCACCCTGTCGTTGTCCGGAGTGCGGTGTTCTTAAAACTTTGCAGCTTCGTCCACTGCGTCCAACTAGTCCCCGGCGACAAAACGGGCTCAGCATAGTTTAGAGCCGGCCGGCCAATTGCATTGTATGTTGTCAGCAACTTACTTTGTTGACGGCTGCGGTTGTGTGCGCGGAGAAGGAGAGCAGGCTGTCAAAGGTGAACCCTAAAATCTGCGGGTTGTTGACATGCGGAATTGGTGTGTCATCGACGTGAATGCGTAATTGAAGCCTGACCTCCTTTGTCAAGGTGATGAAGAGGGTCGCCGGTGATTTCGTTGGGGAGACCGTTAAGCTCCTTAAAGTGTAGAAGCAAGAAAGTCTGGAGAGATGGCCGCTTACTTTTTAGCAGAGGTCATCGATTCTATTCCTGGACGCCAACATCGAGAAGTCGTCAGCGTATGAGTTCAGGGAAACTCCCTCAAACGTCTTTGACAAGCCCAACGCTACTAGAACTGTTCTCCCACAGGGAGGGTTGCGGTTGGGCCACAAGTTATCTGCGTGTTTATGGCGTTAAGCGCTGTAGTTGTGCTGTGCACTTTACAGAAACCATGCTGATGCTTCGCTGGTGTCAGGTGGTGAGTGAAGTGCGGGAGTAGCAGGACCTCAAATGTCTTTGCGACCGCGAAAAGGAGCTGGCGGGTTTCCCCGGTTTCACATATCAGGAATGATGACAGTGGTCATTGACAGGTTGAGGACCTCTGTGAGATATGTTACTACCGCGGGACCCAAATGTTTCAGCATCAGCATACAAATAACGTCGGGTCCAAAGGCTTTGGAGACTTTCGCCTTCTCGATGGCCACCTTCACTTCGCCGCTGGTGAAAGTAAGTGGAGTACCATTTTTGGGCTATTTGTTCAGCGTCCTGGCAACTGCCGGCTAAAATAGCTCGCGCATTTCTTCGGGTCTGAAAAGCGACCATTGACCGGAGCTTACTCACACCAGAGGCGAAATTGCAGGCCTTCGAGTGCTCTTCCCACTTTTTCCATTTATGCTGATTTAACAATTACCGAATCTCCAAATTAAGGTCCTTCAGGTGAGGACCCCATGATCGACCTGGCGTAGGTGGTCACGCTTCTGCCGGGAAATTTGTGCGGACTTGAACCGCTGCGGCAGTGACTACCCTGCAGAACTGGCGTTCACCAGCGTGTATGTCTGCGGGTTTGGGAAGGGCGGCGAAGGTGCTCTCGGTGACTTTCACGAAGCCGTTCCAATCAGCTTTGTTAAAGTTGATATAGGTTCGGTGGTCCGCGGGAACAGAGCCGGTGGGCTTATTGATCGATATGATTGTTGGCAGATGGTCTTATTGAAGCGTGGGTAGGGGCGTCGCTGTTCAAGGTGCAGAATCTTGAATCGTCTATCTGCTCAACCAATACGTTTCACCTACAATCATTTGCCAGGCTTGAATGCCACAAATCGTGGTGCGCGTTAAAGTCACCTATTACCATTCGGGTTTCACCTCTGAGTAGCGTACCTATGTCAGCGTGGTATCCTGCCAGGCAGCAGGTGAAGGGGGTATATATACGATAAATATTTCGAGCTCGACATCGCCTGAACGGACGGCTATGCCCTGACATTCTAGGTTGGTGTCCCTCGGGTCGATGTCTTCTTCGATTAGACGATAATGCACTGTGTGGTGTAGGATATCCTCCACCATTATCTCGCTCGCGATCTTTGTATAGCACATTGTAGGCTGAGCAACAGCGTTGAGTTGCTGTGCAACTAAGTTTCTTGGATCGCAGCTATCAATATGCCATGCCGACGCATGAAGACTGCTATCACTTCAATCTTGCTCTGGAGTCCGTTACAGTTCAGTAGTAGGAGTTTCATATGCCTTGAGAGGCCTGTTGCGCCACCCTAGTTGCTGTTTCTGCCTGATGTGGGTGGCTGCAATGGTTATGAGACCTAAGGTCTGAACAGATTCTTAGTTGACCCCATCCGTTGCAAGAGTTGCATCTAACCGAAGTGGAGTTCGGATGGAGTACCCTCGGATGGAGTAGCATCAGCACAAGTATTGTTTCTGGTCCGGGGTTGGACTCAATTCCCGAACGGAGAAGAAGGATGCGGAGCTATCCGGCTCCATGGACGTAGAAATAAATTTGCCGATCTAAATGGGGTTAGGTCTCCGAAAAAACAGCCCTTAGTAAAACATGAGTCATTCCGGTATGTAGAACCGGCTTTTGTGGGAATCGGGTCTACGTAGGCGGAGCGACCCAGATTTATATTTGGCCAAAGACTTTCCAGCAACAATCCCCAAAAACTCTTTGGGGAGTTTGTGTGCTCTTACAACAACAACGACATCAACTGCTAGATAGTCCACATACAGGCTATTAACGGCACTATGAGGGACTATAACCCTCACGAAATAGAATTCTCCTTTCTGTGTTGCCGAAGAAGAGGGGCTGAACACCTTTTGCAGCTATTTTTTTTATATGTTGTCAATAACGTGAATTAATAATAAATATCCTTTTGTTTTTAATTTTGTAATGTTTTTTTTTTATAAAAACTAATTTTTCGCATAAAAAAAGTAAAACACGTGTTATCAAAAAAAAAAGAGAAGATATTTTTAATGCCTTTCAAATGACATCAAAATATTTTAAATTAATACAGTAGTTTTTTAGTTATTCCAATTAAAAGAAATTGATAAATTGATTTTTCCTCCTCGGAAAAAGAATACCGTTATGATCAGGACTAAGACCCCTATCTGCACTTATACCATTGATTATAATATTTCTGAATATTAAAAGCTTCAAATATAGGTTTTCGTTTCTGTATAGGGAAACGTCGTTCCTAAAAAAGGTAACATCAAAGACTCAAAGACTTAAATCCACTAACCTAGTACCTTTTATAGATGTCCCACTGACACCCTAAAACAGCAGATTAACACATTTTCTCCAATCAGAAACGCTTTTCAAAAGCTTCAAGCTTTTATCTACATAATCAATTTCAACACCACCGCCGTGGTGAGTAAGTCCGACGAAACACCATGCGAAAGAAAAAGCAGCAAAAGCGAGCGAGTTGTTGTATGTTGTAGTTGTTGTGGTTCAGTTCACGAAAGAATTTTGTAAAATTAACACAGAAATTTGCGGGTGCGCCGTTGTTCAGCATGAAGTGAAAACAAAGTTCATTAAATAAAAGCAAAAACGTGCTACTAAGTAAATCGATAAAATATTTATAAACGATTTAAGACTGGATTTCCAGACTATTGCGGAGCGTTTTTAATTAGTGAGTGTGTAAAGTTAATTTGCATAGAAACCGATGAACAAACGAGCGAAGGTACGAGGCAATGAACGACCAGAAAACGTGCAAAGTGCAGGCAAATCAAGTTTTGTGGTTTGCAATGTACCTATGCGCAAATAAAAATTATGGCGATGTGTGGATTATTAATTTGCTTAGTGTTAAGATGCTTTTAAACGCGAACAGCGTGGCGTAAATAAAAAGAAAGTCAGTGCTGCTTCCATCGACGCGACGCCACTTCCTCGTCTCTGTTCTCTGTCGTCTTCTTTGCTTTGTGAATCCAATTGGAGCGGGAACAGTTCGCTTGTCAATAATTATACATATGTTTATCAGCAGTGCATAGAATTGAAAATGCATACATACATACATGCAACCTAAAAAAGAAAAACATCGAAACAATAGACATATTGGTAAAAAAGTGCAGTAGGCAAGTGCAATAGGAACAGCTGGTTGTTTTGTGTCAGCTCATTGCAGCGTTGCGCTTGTTGCTGTTGTTGGTATACCATATACAAAATAGATATATTTACTAGTATAAAGTGCATTCAAGCCTTAATGAGTTTTGTTGCTGCGTCATGCATATCGTCATCTCGTGCAAGAAGTTTATGGTTGACCGGCCCTAAATGCAACTCCAGGCAACTCCACTTACGAATGCCACTTAAAAGGAAAACGTCATTGTTTTTTTGCCCACCCGTTTTTGTAAGAATTTCTCAACAATGTTCAAATGCATAGAAAATTCTCGAGTGTAAAGTGTGCTATTTCTGTCTGATTACAAAGTGTAAACGCTAAATTATGCCAAGAAATTTTAATTGGTTAAAGTAACAACTAGGAATTGTACTCTATAAAATAAGTGATTGCGCTTTTCCTAGTTTTGTTTTGTGTTTCTTTTTGTTGCAATAAACTGGTTGTTGTTGTTGTAACAGCATACAGATTCTCAAAGTTTGCTGGAGTGCAGGAGTATTTACCCAGATATAAACCTAGATTGTACCGGTAACGTATAACCGGCCTGTCGTGGGAACCATGGTTTAATAATAACAAGGTGTTGTCAGTAGCTTAACCTCTCTTTTTCGGCAGCTATATTCCAGTCACGCATTTTAAAGTAGTAGAAAAGGTACTGACTACTTAATACTTTTACTCCGTTTGTGCGTACTATTTCAGAATAAATATAGAAAAGTATATAAGCTTCGTTCCCCACGCTTTCTGGGCTGCTCCGGTAATTAGAGTGTAAGAATAAGTTACTCTCTTACAAGTGTCAAAAATGTGCCAACACGCGCCAAAAGCGCCCAGAGCGTGAGGAACGCAAAAAACCACATTTCGTACCCGGAATCAACATATCAGCTTTAAACAATGATTTTACATGCATTTATTTTACATGGCTAAGAAAATTACCAAATAACTACATTTTCTCAAAATTCTGTGATATTTTCCACTTTTGTTTTTATAAAATTTGCTTCGGATTTAACACCAACAGGTGTTATTTCAAATTGCCCTTTTGCAAATTTGTGCCCGGAAAAAAAGTCTGGGCTGTTTCGTGTACAAAGAAGACATTGACGATCCAAAAGTGGAACGTATTCGCTCTCTACTACACATTTTTCTAGCGCGAGGAACGCTTTCTGGGCTGTTTTGGGCACCCGCGGGCTCGTGTGGAACAAACCTATAATTACAGGCTTATATAATTACAGGCTTTGTGCGTATTATTTCAAAATGTAGAAAAATATATAATTACAGGCTTATAAGCCTGAATATAGTACATATGTTAGTATAGGTAGCTCCTTACAGATTAGACAAATATTGTAACTTATAAAAAAGTAAATGCCATAAAATAGGACGATTTTCTATAAGACTGAAAATGATTTTTAAAATAGATTAAAACACATAAATATCGATAATATAAAGGAATTCCTAATTTAACCATGCATCCACTCTATTCTAGAGTATCAGTAGCCTGTTTAGCTCAATATTATGACAATGCAGCAAAAGTTATTTAATATAAAAAATCGTCTTTCCATACAATTTTTGTGTACTTCTGTTTCCATTGATAACCACGATATCTTTTATTTTTTTTTACATTTTGAGGATAAAAAATATACAAATCAAGCAGTTTTAATTATTAATATCGCTCTGAAAACACCAAGTTTCTAAAAAACGCGATAAGACGAATTACTAAGATGGGGTATTTTAAATACTATTTATATTATAGTACTATAAAAATAAGGATCGGCAGCATTGAAAATAAGCATGCCGATATTGTCAAAATTACAACAAACACGTCGCTACTAACAACACCTTGTTATAATAATATATAATACGTATATTCCACTACGGTGGGAACGACTGTCACTCCTGCGACACTCCCCAAAAACTATTTGTTTCCGCGATCTAGCCCTTTTACGCTCGGGGAAATCTCTCAGACGTTGTTCGGTTATGGGGCAACATTTGCTCCGCATTCTTATGCTCAGGACGGGCCTAGATCAATCCCAGAGCCATAAACCTCCACCTGCTGCGTATGCCAGAGACGATTACACCCTAATTCCACCGCGGCCTGGTGCAACACCTGCGACGGGTGGAACTCACCGGCAGTGGAACACGTCGTTCGTTGGCCCATGCTGTATAAATCGGTCAACTTCACGGCACATCAGGGTTCACCCGAACAACACAAAACTAACTCGACTAGTTCCTCCTACAATCTGCTCGGTGACACCAGTCAAGTGAAATTCCTGCCTTGTCTGATGCCACTTTAGCGCATATTAGATTGCACGAGCTAAGTACTACGTGGGCCGGCGTTGTATTTCTTAGGCGCAACTACCAACACAGGGCAGCACCCCCTTCAGCAGCACACACAGAAAATGGCCAGCAGGCAACACAACTCTCTTACACCTCACATTGCAATCAGTCTCTCTACAATTCAACTGTAACGGACTACAGAACAATATCGAGGAGATACCGCCTTCTTGGGTCGACACGGGATATTGATAGCTGCGGTCTAACAGACGAAGGTGCACAGCGACTCAACATTGTAGAGCTGCGCCGGATGCAATGTGCGCCGTCGAGAACGCGAGCGATATGACGGAGGTGGCCTAGCGTTCATCACGTACCACACCGTGCAGTATCGTCTTATCGAAACAAACATAGGCCGGAGGGATACCATCCTAGAATGTCAGGGTATTGCTATCCGGTCATGATAGCTCGCTATATTTAATGTTTATATACCAACCGTTACCAGCTGCTCAGCCGGATATCACGCTGGAATAGGTGCGTTCCTGAGAGGGAAAACCGTATGGTATTCGGTGTTTTTAATTCAAGCATTCAAGCCTGTCGAATGAACGTAGGGGAACACACTTGGTTTAGAAGATAGACTATTCGATAATTCTGCACAATGGACGACAACGCACCCACCAGGATTATGGGCAGCTGCAGTAGCTCGCCTCACATAAAAATTGTAAATGCTAAGTAGTATGATAAACAGCATACCGTAGAAACCTATGCTGACTCTAGCAGCAGACCATTTACCCATAGCCATCTCGATCGATAAACCTGCTGACTTTGCTTCCGCGGAACGCCGTATGTGAGCGTAAATTCCGAAGGGTTGTCACTGCTGCAGTAGCCCGCGTCATTCCATTAGAGATATCGACGGGTAACTCAGCACTGAGCGGACTCCCAGCAGTCCCACTCAGGATCACTAGTAAAAAATTGAATAGTCGTAAAAATTTTCAATTCATTCAAGTTATTACGCGCACCAGATGCACAGCGCATACCAACTCATTTCCTCTTTACAGGTCTACAGAGTAAACCAGCTCTAAAGTGCTCGTAAGCTCTATAGCGCATACCAACTCTATTCCTTTTTACAGCTAACCAACTCTAGGCAATTGTGCCACCTCACTGAGCTGACTAATTTAAATGAGCTTGAGTCATTGAGTTAACTTGCGAAAATTCAATAAGTTACCCAGTCTTAATCGACACGTAAATACATGAGCGGAAGAAGTGGGAAGAGCATCTATAACTTCACCTCTGGTGTGAGCAATCTTTGGTCAATGGTGAGGTCACTACCTAACCCGACGAAGCGTGACTACAGAGTCGAAATCTCTTTCGGCGACCGCGTTTTGTCAGATCCGAAGCGATGCGCGAGCTCACGCTGCATCATCCGGCGGACAAAGCCAAACGTCAAGTGACCAGAAGTCTGCACAAACTTCCCCCTGTGAGAGAACAGCGTTGGATCTGTCAAAGGCGTTTGATACCTTCAGCCACTCCACGCTACTAGGAAGACACTGTGGCTCCCTCCCTCCCACAGCGACTCAAACACTGGCAAACTAGTTAGCTGAGTGGTCGACATTCGTCAGTAATTTTTAGAGATAAAACTAGCAAGCCAAGAAAAATTTTACAGGAGGTCCCACAGTGTGGTGTCATTTCCCCGCTACTGTTTAACTGTTATATTTCAGAGCTCGATCAAACGCCAGAGGGAGTCTCGATTGTCGAGCATAACATAATACCGTCTGGGAATGGAATTGACGACTTGTGCTCGAAAGTAAACGGTTACTTTCAAACTTTCTCGTTTCCTCACTGCAAGGAGCCTAATCCTCTCCGCTACAAAATCCTTGGCAACCCTTTTTTTATCAAGTGGACGAAGGGGGTCAGAAAACAGCTGGAAATTCAGGACGATGGCGTACAAATTCTGACGGTGAATAACCCGAAAATTCTCTGAGTTACCTTCGATAGTCTGTTCTTCTTCTCGGCACAACGCAATTATCAATAGAGTACAGAGCCGCAACAACGTCCTCAAGTCGCTGGCCGGCAGCACCTGGGGCAAAGACAAAGAAACGTTGCAGGCAACATACTAGGCAATGGGATGAACGGTTCTAAACTATCTAGCGCCTGTGTGGTCGCCGGGGACCAAGCTGTGGACGAAGCTACATACTTGCCAAAACACGGCACTCCGGACAGCCACAGGATGCCTTCTGTTGTCGCCACTACACCATCAACATGACGAGGCTCAA